ATATCAGATATTTGCATTATGATTGGGTGCTGGGATCTAGCCCACTGGCTGTGCATGGTGATTGGTTGCTGTTTGATAAGCTACATCAGCTCTCAGTCGTTTTACTTTGAGTGTTTTAGGCCTTAAGTAAAAGTTGACAATACTGCAGGATTCTCTTATGCCCAGCCGTGGAATTTATACCTTACATAACCCATAGATGGAGTACAGGAGCCTGTGCTGACACAGCTTATGCAAATGATTACTCAGATTTCCCCCACCAATGGCCTTTTCCTGTTCCAGCATCCTGTTCAAGCTCTCAGGTTGCATTCATTTGTTGTTTGTGCCTAATCGTTCCTGATTTGTAGCAGTTCTGCTTTTTTGTTTTTGTTTTTGTTTTCCTGATCTATTTCCTTTAATGTCTTGTTGCTGTCGAAATTTACACTGGTGTCTGGTTAGTGTTTTCACTCTGGTTGTCTTCTTTTTGGGGGATAGCCATAGCCTGAGAGAGATTTTTTCCTTATTATTTTTTTAAATTTGCATACAATACAGTTTAATTATATCCTTTCTTTTTTCTTTCCAGATTTATCCCCAACTCAACTTCATGTTTTTTCCTCCTAAGACAAGTATACTGAGTGTGCTCAGAGTGGAATATATTTCACTTTCTTTTGATAAGTAAATCTTTGGTGAAAAGTTTGTGGACTTATATTTAAATTCTTTTATTTATATTTAGAGATTGGGTTTCCCTGGTTGTCCTAGAACTCTATATAGATCATGCTGATCTCAAACTCAAAGAGATCTGTCTGCCTCTGCCCTAGGTTTTGTGCCACCACTGCCTGGTGATCATGAAGGTTTATTCAATATTTGAAGAGAAATAAAATATCTTCAATTTTTTTCTTTTTTGTTTTTGAAAAGGGTATAAGAACATTTGAATAAGAGTGTCTTTTATTACTAGCCTGTAAGCCTAGCTAGATACTGCAGAGATCTGTTTCACTCTCTACGAGAACTGAGCTGTTGGCTCTAAAGTGGTGGAGTGTATCACTAAGCAGTGATAGTTTCCATCTAAGGAAACCTCACTTCTACAGCTCACTTCCACAGAGAAAACCCTGCCCTTGGGGAAGATGCTACCAGTTCAGTAAGCTCTTTATTAAACTGTAAGGCCAGATTTGATTTGGGGGCAGTAGCTTCAGTGAAGAAAAAAATAACTGCTACATGTCAGCTCTGAGGTAGGAGAGCTGCATCGGTCCCAGAAGTTTTGAGAAGGGAGACAGTTTATGACCTCCAGCCAGGGATTGGGCTCCTCAAGTGGTATTAAGGATGGACTTGTTGCAGACCCAGACTTACATGTTTCAAACATTGACTGAAAATGCTTCAAGCTTCTTCAGATTATTAGGAGCACTGTCTACTAAGTTGAATTTCTTTCCTTAGATAGCTGAATTCTTTCTGAGCCAAATTAATAAAATGAGATTTCTTATTAAGAATGAATTATTAAGTAAGTGGAGACACTGGCTAGGAAAGCAGTTGATGCAGTTTGTTTTCAAAGCCTTGAAAGTGCTGCCGTGTGCAGAGATTACAGGGACTGGCTTAAGTGCCAACGTGTGGGCAGGGGCATTAATTTTCTTTTGTAGAGGATTCCAAGTTCACAGGATATCAGAAGTGCTGACTTGGCAGTGAAGTCCCATTTGTAACATGTTAGTTTAGGAAGGAGATTGATTTATATGTTGAAGTAATGGGCCAAGGCGCTGTCGGTGCTTAAGAAAATGGAGAGCACATTAAATAAGAGCATTTCCAAGTCAAGGAGTACAAACATCATAGAATAGTGACCCTGTCGCACTCTAGGTGAGGTCAGGGTATGTTTGATTAGTTGATTCCTACATGTGGCCCATAGAGGCTTTTTATATTTCAGAGGATACTGTCTTGAGAGTCTCTCATGACCACAAGGATTAATCTTTCTGAACTCAGAAGTGAATCACTGTATCCTATTAGCTGTCTGGATTGATTCCAGTTACTTTCTTTCTTGGTGGTAACTGATGTGAGATCTGGCTGTTTTGCTCTCCTTCCTGTTGCTTTAACCTCTGATACTTTAGAGTCTTTAGGGAAGATAGCACTGACCATCTCACTGCAGAAATCAAATGCACTTACACTGATGTATTGACCTCCGTGGTTGACCCATTAACTGAGCATTTATACAGTTGAAACTCTTGTGGTCTTTTAGCCAGAAACCATAATGAGTAACATGTGGAACATAGTCTTGGCTGTTGAATGCACTAGAATCGATCATTTCAATGTTGTGGCTCAGTGAGCTCACACAACTAATCAACACTTCTTACCCCGTTCATGCTGAGGACTTAGGGGTCAAACACTTTCCCTCTCCTTACAGTCTCCTGTATGATTCGATGTGATGCCCTAAATCCTGTTTGTTTTGTAGGTGTCCTCAATGTTAGATTCATATAAGGGCACATGTAGTTAAAACATTGCTAAGAATTCTTTTACTTTTTCAAATTTGTTTTTTCTTTTTAAAATTTTATTTTAATTTTATGTATATGGATGTTTTGCTTGCATGTAAGTCTGTGCACTACATATATGTCTAGTGCTTGCAGAGGCCAGACGATGTCCGTTTCCTGAGAACTGAAGTTAGAAAGAGTTGTGAGCTACTATGTGGGTGTTGGGAGTTGAACCTTGATCCTTTTAACTGTTGATCCATCTCTCTAGCCCCTCAGTGTTTATTTTTTTCTTACTGTGCTTACTTTATACATTAAACTTTATTATGGCATGGGGGAAAAAGCATGTATACTCTTCAGTGTACTTCATAGTTTCATCCACTGTGGGTCCAGGAACATAACTTCCATGGATAAAGGACTACTGTAACACTATGTACACAGATGCTTCTGTTCTTCAAGGGCACATTGCTTAAAAAGAGCCTTGCCTTTACTAAATACTATTTCTCGCCTATTTCTGAGCCATTACTGGTTAAAGTCTTGTCATAAAACATGGATATTACCAAAGAATGGCTGGGATATTTTTTATGCAGAATGAGATAAATTTGTTTATGAAATTCTTCCATCCCTTTCTTTTCTATTTGAAAAGGTTAGGATCTTGCTTTGTTGAGCAGACTGGTTCCAAACTCGTGGAATTCCACCTTAACCTTTTGATGAGTCGGGACAATAGACACATACATAACTTATGAAATTCTTTTCAAAAGTGTTCTGTTTCCATGACTGAGGCTGCCACATACTGAATATTGCAAACTTTGTTAATCATTTTTGTATTATTATGGTGTAACAAAGTGAGACAATCAGCTTTTTTTAAAAAAGAAATGTTTATGTTGCCTTACAAGGTTGGTGGCGTCAGCTCCTGCTCTGTTTTGCCAGCCCTGTGACTTTTGAGCATCATGGTGTGACTGCATGAGAGAAAATGTGGTGTTCCAATATTCCCTTCAGGGAATACTGCAAACAACCTAACTTGATGCCTCTTCCTATTCTTCATACCCAGTATATCACCATGTCTTACTGTTTCCTTTCTGTGATCATGAGTCTCTTCTTACTGAACCTTAGCCCAGGCTACCACTACTTTTCTGTTGGACCACACACTTCTACATTCTGAGCCCTTCCCTTGCTTACTTACAGTCTACTTTTACTCTGTGATCAGCAGAGAGACACTGGGAACTAGAGCTCTGTGTTTAAATCTCTCAACACTTCAGTGATAAAGGCAGAGATTCTTCCAGTGCCAGACTGACTGTGTAGACCTGGCTCTACTGCTTCCTTCATTAGCTCTCCACTCTGACCATAGTCACAGTCTTCCTAATGTTCACTGAGTGCTGTTATTTTCCTCTTTAGGAATGTGAATCCAGTTCCCTTTTTAGTGAATTTTGACTTGATACTAGATAGGGTGCTGAGGAAGTATACTCATTAATTATAGTTGTGAGATTTTGTTGTTGTATGAGTGAATTAAGGAAATTATTTGGAGTTTTAGCTGTTCTCTGCTCTCATGATTTGCGTGTGAAGGCATGAATAGCTTGTATTAGACAGGTGGTAGTCAGGTTTGGGATATTCCGAGCGCTCAGTAAAGGTTAGTGCTCATTTTACTTCATCATATATACCCACAAGTCATTTTCAAGTTCTGGCATACTTTTTGCAGCACGGGCTTGTTTATATAAAGTACCACAGACTTATCATCTCAACCACTCAGAAAGCTGAGACATGAAGAGTTCAAGACCCGCTTGGGCAAAGTGAGTTTTAAGACAAGCCTGAGCAACTTAGCAAGATGCTATCTCAAAATAAAAAATGTGAAAAGAGGTACAGATATAGCTCAGTAGTAGAGTTCAGGCCTAGCATGTGTGAGACCCTAGATTGACTCTCCAGTACTAGAGTAGGGTAAAGACAAAAGTAGATATCTGAGATTAATTATAAAATATTTTTAAAAAGAGATACCTGCCCTGCTCCCCTCCCCCATTGATACTGAACCATACCTATTCCTACCAAATTTAGCTTGAGCCAGGCCAGTAGAGGCACTGGTCTGTGGCTATCTTGCTATTCAGATGTTCTAATTTACAGACACCTGTTGTGGATCTTGTATAAACCTGTTTATATTTAGGGAAATACAAAGTTTTGAATTTTCCTTTTATTTGTCTGGAAATGCTTACTTTGAAACTTGACAGAACTTCAATTCTGCATAGTTTTTGGTAGTTCTTTTATATCCCCCTGTCCCTTTGGGTAGGTGGCAGTTGAGTGGATGCAAGGGTCTTGACACACATGGAAGTCATTTCTCTTCTTCCATCATGTAGGTCCTGGGGATCAAACTCAGGCTTGGCAATAAGTGCCTTGACCTGTTAAACCATCTTACCAGCTTGGTGATCCCTCCTCTCCCCCAGACTACATCAGAATATTTCTATGGGATTCTTCAGCACCTTCCAACTGTACTGAGTAATCTAGTGAGGTAGAGAATTGATCCTGAGTGAATCATTGAATGACTGCCTTTGCAGGTCTTTTGAATAAATCTGTAACCTCTGGTGTATCTTTTGATAGGCTCTTGCAGCTAATGCTGGAACAGGCTTTGCTGTTGCTGAACCTCAGATTGCGATGTTCTGTGGGAAGCTGAATATGCATGTGAACATTCAGACTGGGAAATGGGAGCCTGACCCAACAGGCACCAAGAGCTGCCTTGGAACAAAGGAAGAAGTTCTTCAGTACTGCCAGGAGGTAAGAGTGTTGACAGAAAGTTACCTTCTTCCCTCTTTTCTATGTCAGGGTTACATGTGTTCCCCTGCCCAAGACCCAGGTACTAAGAACTGGAGCTCTAGCCCCTTTTGTTTCTAAGTACGTGTGGTATGATTTAGCTATTGCAGAGGTTTTGCTTCTTGATACACAGTCAAATGTTTTGGGTTGAAAGCCTGCTGTATTTACCTTACACATAGATTCCATTTCTAAGTATAATCTATGGGAGGAGTCAGAAATATAAGCTATCAAGAGAAAACCAGCTTTTGTCCTATTTGCTTGCACTGGAACTGGAGGGAGCAGGTGCAGCCTCCACATATAGAATGATGTGGGTCTGTATATACTGCAGAAATGCTCAGGAATCGCTGCATCATTGGTGCCACGGGATCCCATGTCCATCCAGCTGAATACAGCTAAGATTGACAAGGTCACAGGCAGGTTTAATGCCCAGTTTAAAACCTATGCTATCACAAGATAGGTAGCTCAGATAATTCTGTTCTCCAGTTGGCTAAGACTGATGATGTCTCAAAAAAAACTTTGGAGGAAATTCGAGGCGATCTGTTATAAAAGTGAGAAACAAAAGACAAGTAGTAGTTCAGTCTATTTTTATTTTGCTGTTAGAACGTGGACTAGTGTAGTAGAACTTGAGGTTGATGTAGAATAAGGATGGGCTTGGAGGTACTTATTCATCTGCAGGCAGGTTTATTGTGTGGATTTCACTGTTGTTGTTGTTCGTAAACAGATATATCCAGAGCTGCAGATCACAAATGTGATGGAAGCAAACCAGCCAGTCAATATTGATAGTTGGTGCCGAAGGGACAAAAAGCAGTGCAAGAGTCACATTGTTATACCATTCAAGTGTCTTGGTGAGTGCTTTTGGTTGCCTTTTAGAAGTGTTCCTCCCCACCCCTTGAATGTTGCTCGTGGATCCCCGTAAAGTATCTGCATCTGTTAAAGTTAATGGAGAGATTTTTTCCTATGGGTTCTTGTTGCTGCTTCCATGTGTCGGTGGTAGACTTCGTCTCTGAGACTTCCTCTCCGAGACTTCCTCTCCATTGTGAACCTCTTTTTGCCTCTGGAGGATGAGCCTTTCCCAGGACACCAAATAGAAAGAAGCATTACCTGCAAAGCAATGGACATTTGCCCTTAACATTAACCATTTGAAATCAATGTTTTGAAAGACAGTTGAGGAACAGCACTTAAGAAAGCAGCCAAGGAAAAGGGTCCTTTATCCCTACAGTTCATCTTGTTCACGTTTGCACTGTTAGATCAGGCAATGGTTAGTTCTCTGGAGAGGGAACATGACTCATAGTATGTGGCCAGGTGCCAGAGCCAGATGCTGTGTGGACCTGCCATTCTCAAGGGCTGGGGCTTTACCCAAGTGTTGTTATTCAGTCACTGGTGTGATAACATTTACTGGCAGCTTGAACAAAGCTGTGGGTGACAGTGTGTTCCTCAGAAATGGGGTTGTTACTTAGTGAATGTAATCTTTTTAACCCTTTGTTGCCTGACATGTGAATGGTTAACTCACAGTACTATATATAGTCTGGGTGATTCAAGAACAGCTTGAGTCTCAGATGCTAGTAAGGATGAAACAATTGTGCTTGGTCCAGTCATATTAACAGAGGCAAGGCACTAACATTGACACCTGAGGAGACCTTTAGATCTAATTTATTATCTGTTAAATTTATTCCTCTCCCTTACTCCATTAAAACTTTCCCCTAAACTACAGATATCACCAAAATGGAGTATGTTGCTTTTACTAGGCTCATATGTAGCGAGAAAGTATTGCCAAGAGGAAGAATTAGACCCAAGCAGTGCAGAGCATGTAGCAGCTCTTGTGTTGCTGTATAGCATTCCTCAGCAGGACGGAGGGACATTGTGTGTGCTTAGCCATCTCCTTTAAGTCTGGACATCTTGCAGTGTAGTATGGAGTATGCTAAAGTATTTGTATGATGTGGTTTAAGGATGGTCTTCCCTTCCATTAGGTTCTGAGAAATCTACCTGTAAAATTCTCCAAGTGTAACTGAAACAACTACTCTGTGTGTATGTGTTTCCAGCTTCAGATTTTTTATTTTTTATTTTTATTTTTATTTTTTTGAGCATTGAAGCTGTGACTGTAGCCCTGGCTGTCCTGGAACTCTCTGTGTAGACTAGATTGGTCTAGAACTCAAGAGATCCACCTTCCTCACAACCTCTGAGGTTAAATACTTGAGCCACCACTGTCCAGCTTAGTTTGATTGTTCTTGAGTCTTTCAGCAAAGACTGTCTTCTTCACTTCTACCTTCATCACTGTGTTTTTAATGGTTTCTGTAATTAAAAAATAAGTCCCTTGAACATCACCAGAGTTGAAATGAAATGGTTGCTTTTGACCCAGTGTGTTGTGGAGCTTGGTTGTCCAGTGCCCAGCATGTGCTAAGGTGATGGGGCCTGATAGTAAGCTGCTGTTGGACCTAACCACTTACCTTTAAAAGCTGTGTTGGTTTAGTGATTTAATAAAACAAGGAAAGAAGCACAACCATTCAGACACCCAGGGTACTGAGAATCAGAAAATGTGTGAGTTTCTGGATTACACCTCCTTTCATCCAATTGCCACTTCTGTTCACTTTTTGTCATGTCTTGTCTGGACTGTGACCACAACCTTCATGCATGTTTCTCAGTCATGTTCATGGTTTGTTGCCTTCAGTGATATAAGATGATCAAATTATGTCCTAGCATTAAATTCTGTGGTTTCAATTCCTTATCCAGGTAAAGACTATTGAAGCTCTTTACTAAACATGGCTTAAAAACTCCATGATTTGATCCTCCTTTGGGCGTACCATCTTAACTACACTGTCTGGCCCTTGCTACACACTGTATCAGCATTGAACATCTTGAATTTTCTGTCCTTGCTGCTTTTTTGAAAACACATACTAGTGTATTATCTGTGTGCCTGAGTGACACGGGGAAAGAGGCCATGTGCCACATACATGTAGAAGTCAGAACAGGCTGTGTGAACTTGGCTCTCTCCTTCCACTTCATGTGGGTTCTGGAGTTGAACTTAGGTTACTAGGCTTGTTCAGCAAGTGCCTTTGCCTGGTACCATCTTGCCAGCCCTGGTTTATGTATTTTTGAGAACAGCATCAGAAACAACATTATTATTAGGAGTTGTGTGATGTCAGCTTGTTACGCTGCTGTTGAGAACTTGTCAACTGGGTAAGATGTTGCCTGCATTCATGTCACCATATGCTGGCTGCCCAGATATGGCCTTTGGGTGTGTCCCTTTATGTTGCTGTTTCTTGTGCCTGTTTAGAATGTCTTTATCTTCAGGGGAATGTTTTCTGGTATAAAAAAATGTCCCCTCTATGTTTTTTTTTCTTCTGAAGTCAGCCATTTCTTCAGGAATTAGCATTGGTTTCTTTGACTGGTAATTGTATTTAGCTAAGATAATGGACAGTAGTTGTCTTTAGTTCTATCAAGGCTGTAACTGTTTCTTGGCCCATTTGTTAAACAGAGCTAAGAAACGTGTGTTACATATACATGGACTTATGTCTGCATTTTCATATTGACTTCTGTATGTATTAAAAATAATGAGCTCAATGGGTAAAGTGGTTGCTGCAAAAACCCACATAAAACCTAGGCATGGCAACATGTATCTGTAACCTTACAGCTGGGAATGGGCTGGGGATGTAACCTGATCTCCCCAGGCCTTGCTGGACCACCAGTCTTCTCCAAAACAGTGGCCTCTGCCTTAAGTGAGAGGCCCTGTCTCATAACGTAGGTGAGGATAGAGAAAGGCCTCTAACCTGACCTCTGGCCTGAATGTGTGCACATATATGAGTTCACCACACAGAAACACAGATGTGCTCATAGTGAGAGTGCCATTTCTGATATTCTACTCTATGTATCCTATAATCACTCTGCTTCTTTCAGATTGTTTGAGATGATCCATTTTATCTGCTAAATAATCTACCCCTTTGAAAAATTCATTCAAATGGGTTATACTATAGCAGTAGCACTATATATCAATAAATAATAATAATAACTCTTACTAGTTTTTTTTTTTTTCCAGTATGTGTAAGGAGGTCAGAGGACAACTTGTAGATCTCTCCCATCACTGTGGGGGGAGGTGTCTCTGAGACCAAACCTAGACAATAAGGTTTCTCAGTGTAAATACCTTTCCCTGCTGAGCCATCTCATTGGCTCCTTTTGATAATTCTTTTTACATTATAAGTCAAAAGTGAGAATCCTATACCCTTACTTACCAGAAGAGTCACAGTGGGTTCCTTACATATACTGAGATGAATATTGTATATTAGAGCAAAGAAATGATAGGAACGAGGTTGTTTGACTTTAGCCTGAAATCTTTTTTAGATAAAGCCCAGAACTAGACATGGTGGCAGCACTCAGAAAGCAGAAAAAGGTGGCTCTCTGAATTTGAGGTCAGGTTAGTCTATATTGTTCCAGGCCAGCCAGGGCTACATAGTGACATCACACTATTTAAAAAAAAAAAAAAAAAAAAGGTCAGATATTGTAGCCTAGGGCCTCAGGTGAAAAAGCACTTGACATGGGAAATATAGTATGTGGAAAGAACCCACTCCCAAAAGTTGTCTTCTCACTACCACACACATTCACTCTCTCTCTCTCTCACACACATATCCACTCCTACACACAAAGTATTAATAAGTCCATATATACTTTTTGAAAAGCTACACCACCATGATCTTGGCATGAGAGAGAGGCAGGAGAATCTCTTGATTGTCGGAAAACCTGATCTTTATTGAGTTCCAGGACAGGTAGGGCTACATGGAGAAACGCTATCACAAAACAAAACAAATAAAAATCCCCCAAAACTTTTGCCTACTAAAATTGGAAATGGACAGAATGAATGAAAAGTAGCTATATATTTTATTAGGTACCTCTGCTAATTGGTTTGGATATCAAACCTAGAGTTCTTAGTTTCATTTTTCTTTTTAAGATTTTACTTTTAGCCGGGCGGTGGTGGCGCATGCCTTTAATCCCAGCACTTGGGAGGCAGAGGCAGGCGGATTTCTGAGTTCGAGGCCAGCCTGGTCTACAGAGTGAGTTCCAGGACAGCCAGGACTATACAGAGAAACCCTGTCTCGAAAAAACAAAAAAAAAAAAGAAAAAAGATTTAACTTTTAATTAGGGGTGAGAGTACTGTACACACGAATGCAGGTGCCAGTGGAAGTCAGAGTCATCAGAGCTGAGTTGCAGGTGGTTGTAAGCCTGGAGCTGGGAACTGAGCTCAGGTCCTCTGTAAGAGCAGTATATACTCTTGACCATCGCTCCAACCCAACTCTTTTTTTCTTCCTCCTCTGTTTAATGTATATGGATATTTTGCCCGCATGTGTGTGTTTACCACATTTGTGCCTGGTTCCTTCTTCAGAAGCCAGAAGAGGGCATCAGATTCCCTGGAACTGAAGTTATAAACAGATGTGAGCCACTGTGTGCCTGCTGATAACTGACTCTGAGTCCTAGAAAAGCAAGGCCTCTCCACGGCTGTTTCATCTTTCCAACTCCCTCTCCCATATTGTTTTATTGTTGCTGTTTTGTGGATTTGAAAGTTGAGTATGCATCTGAGTTCATGCAATACCCTACATAGGATAGGGGTCTACTGTCTGCCCTACCTGCTGTTGTGATGTTTTCTGTTTACTGGTTTTGCTAGGTTGAGAACAATACTTATGTTTTCTTCCTTTGTTTTAGTTTTGTTTTGTTTTTAGGTGTATATACCCTAGGCTACCCTCAAACTTGATATGTAACCAGAGATGATCTTGAACTTCTAATCCTTTGCCCCCAGCTCCTTTGTTTTGAGATTATGGGCACATGCTATATACCTGGTTTTTCTTTTTCCATCCCCAGCCCCCAATACTAGAGACTGAACCTATCTTGCATGCTGAACAAGCATTTTATTAATTGAACTATGTCTTGGTAACAAATTGAAGGTGAGCTGCTAGCAAGATTTGTATCAGGTTTAGTGCTGTAATGTCTGTAGATATCTGTTCACTGCGTCTCTCATCCGTGCTGTCACCAAGTGTGACTCCTTTAGAGGGTATGTGGTATGTTTAATTAGAAGGTGCAGTTCAAACTTTCCTGCCTCACAGTGAGCTTTTGGTTATCTATAAAACATTATAAATAGAATTGATGATGAATGGAAAGGTAAACCTTAGGCTATCTGTGGGGGACAATTTTATCTGATATTATATGGCTTGTACATCATTACAGATATTCCTTTGCAAGTCTTTTAGCCTTTGAATTTACTGTTTCCACTAAACATTCTAGCACTGGGTTCGGGGTGGTGGTGGCCAGGGCTACATTTGACAAAACAAATCAGCATCATTAAACATAAGGAAAAAAAAAAATGGGTCTGGAGAGATGGCTCAGCCATTAAGAGTACCTACCGACTGCTCTTCCAGAGGTCCTGAGTTCAATTCCTAGCAACCACATTGTGGCTCTCAATCATCTGTAATGGGATCTGATGCCCTTTTCTGGTGTGTCTGAAGAGAGCAATGGTGTACTCATCTACATAAAATAAAATCTAAATATCCCTATTCATTCTTCCATTGGTAGAGATCTTAAGGTTGACATGGTTCTATGGGGTTGACTCACTACAGAAACATTGACCTTGCATAAGGACCTATTCTGGCATCAGGGAGAATGGCAATATATTTTGAGTCCAGACCATTTGTTTAATAAACTGTTCCTGGGGGCTGGAAAGATGGTTCACGCAACAGTTAAGAACACTTGCTGCTCTTGGTAGAAGACCAGAGTTTGATTCCCAGTACCTTTGTTGGGTAACTCAAACCTGCCTGTAACTCTAGTTCCAGGGGATCTGAGCTCACCTGCACCTCTATGCAGATAAGTATACATATACATGTACATTAAAAAAAAACAAACTTCGAAATGTAGAATATCTCGGAATTTGGATTTGTTTTGCTAGAATTGCATTCAAGTAATTAATTTTGGCAGGCATGCTATAGATGATACTGATATACTCTCAGGGCATTGCACATGTCAGCTTGTCCTGAATTGGAACATTATCTTGGTCACTGAGTTTTGGTAGTTTCCCACTGAAAAGGTTCCTTGCTCTTTTGTGATTAATCATCTACTTGAAATTTTACCTATATCAGTTGTTCTAATAGTTTTGTAAAGAAAGGTTCCGCATACTGGTCACGAGGTGTGTCACTTGAGGTGGTCATGGAGAGGGATCCTGTCACGTCTCCCAGAACTGTATTGCAGTAGTTCCCGCACAGGGTGGTAGCCAGGAAATGTTACTGGCAAAGCCACAGGTAAGATAGGAAGTTCTTCCGGTGCCCATGTGTGCTTATGTATGCCTGGCTGTGCAGCTGTCTGCAAACATTATTAGGAGGCTGTTTTCACCCTGAATCACAACCAGCTTTGCTTCTGACACAGGCTTTTTGTTTCTCCCAGTGGGTGAATTTGTAAGTGATGTTCTGCTAGTACCAGAAAACTGCCAGTTTTTCCACCAAGAGCGAATGGAGGTGTGTGAGAAGCACCAGCGCTGGCACACCGTAGTCAAGGAGGTAAGAGCTCGTCACCAGCTCTGGAGCAGGCAGTCACCAGCCATCAGAAGAGGATTATTCCTTTCCACTAACACCAGGGATTTAATTTAAAACAAAACAAAACAAAAAACAAAACAAAACCAAAAACCTGTGTATCTCTAGCTAGCCTGGGACTTGATTGATATATAGCTCAGGCTGACCTGGGACTCATCACAGTCTTCAAGCTTTAGCCCCTCAAGCTGTAATTAAGAGAGGTATTTGCCACCACACCTAGATATGTCTGTGTTAAGTTACAAATACCTAGAGGGAGGCCAGAGAGAGGGCTCAGAGGTTACAGGTGCTTCCTGCCCTCTCAGAGGACCAGTTTGTTTTCCAGCACCCACGTTACGTGGCACACAACCACCTGTATGTAGTTCTAGGTCCCTGGATCTCATGCTCTCATCTGGCATCCACAGGCACCTCCGTTTATGTAGAAGACACATAAGTAAAGATAATAAAAAGATAACTTGGGAGAAGACTAGCTTTCTTTTTTTTTTTTTTTTTTTTATTAGAGATACAGCAGTGCAAGTCTGGTCTCTAGAGTTAAAACTGTTAGGGAGCTAACAGTATAAACAGGTAGCAGGGCTTCTACAAAGATGTTTTGAAGCCTTGGGTTCAATTTATTCCTAGCACTGCCACAAAAGGAACAGAAAATTCTTGGTGATATTTCTTCCTTCATTTAGGCTGGGATAGAGCTTATTACTAGAGCAGTTATCTAGTATGTGCAAGCCTTGGGTTTGATTCCTAGGATCACAGAGTGGGGTGGGATGTTTTAAAGACAGTTGAATCAAGGATCACAGATGTTGTCAGCAGAGCTCCCAAGAAGGCAACCTGGCTCCTCAGTGCAGAACTAGCCAACTCCAGAAAACCTAGGTGTGCGCATACACACAAGCACAGCAGGCAAGCTTGGGTGTATACAGGCACACAAGCTTAGCAAGCAAGCTTGGGTACCATTTCATTCTTCTGGTAGGGAGGAACACCCTTTCTTACACTGATCCTTCAGTTAAATTAGTCCTCCAGTAATTTGTCTTTGGTCAGATTCTTGAGTAGTGGCTATCTCAGGATAGCCTTAACTTGTTAATTCCTGAAACTCTTTAAATTGTTCCTTAGATCTTAAGTTTGGTATTTCAACTGTTTTTGTCTAAGATAAAATTATAAATTAAGAAAAACTTCAAGTCTTAAAATAATAGTATGGTAACTTTTTGACAGAATAGTTAATGTGTCCGGAAGATAATGCACTACCACCTAAGTATTCTGATAAAGATTTCTTTTGGATGAAGCTAGGGCTAAGGGAACTTGTGAAAATGTCCTGATGTGATCTGTGAATTTCTTGTAGGCGTGTCTGACTGAGGGGATGACCTTATATAGCTATGGCATGCTGCTGCCCTGTGGGGTAGACCAGTTCCATGGCACCGAGTATGTGTGCTGCCCTCAGACAAAGATTGTTGACTCTGACTCGACTATGTCCAAAGAAGAGGAGGAAGAGGAAGAAGATGAAGAGGATGAAGAGGAAGACTATGATCTTGATAAAAGGTAAATTTGTTTAAAATGTTGGACTCATTTTGTCTGGTTTCGTTTGATTTGAGAGGGGTGGGGCCCTTTAAATCTGTGTTTGTGATGTCGGGGTTGCACTTTGTAGCCTTAGCTGGCCTGGAACTCCTTACACAGACCAGGCTGGTCTTGGACTAGAGATCTGCCTGCCTTTGTCTTCAGAGTTCTGGGATTAAAATTTAATGACACCATGGCAGGTCTGGTTTTTAGCCTTTCTGTAAAAGTGGCTGTTCGTCCCTCATTGCCGGATAAGGTAAGGTCAGTGTCTTAGTTAGGTTTCTTTTTTTTTTTCTCTCTGTCTGTCTGAATACAAAGAAGAATTTATTGATACTGAATATACTGTAAAGGATAGCAGGCCGGGAAGTCTTATTTAGGTCTCTACTGCTGTGATAAAACAGTGACCACAACCGACCCCAGGAGGAAAGGCTTTCTTTTCACCCCCCAGCTTCCAGTCCTTCATGGAGGGAGGGCAGGACCTGGAGGTGGGACTGAAAGACCATGAAAGAATGCTACTTACTGGTTTGCTCAGTTTACTTTCTTATGTACCCCAAGACCATCTGTACCACCCACAGTGGACTAGGCCTTTTGAAATCAATCATTAAGAGAATGTCCTGTAGACTTGCCTATGAGCAAGCTTAATCAAGGAGGCATTTCATCAGTTGAAGTTTCTCTTCCCAGAGAAAGCTTATTGTCAGGTGACAAAACCCAACCACCAGGACAGTAGTGTCCCCTTGTGCTGAATTTCATCTATCTTTTTATTTTAGTTATAACTGAATATATAAAAACCCGTGGGTTTTTCTTTCCATCAATTTGGACCACATTATTTTTTTTAATTACTTAATTATTTTACATATGAGTGCTTTGTCTGCATACATGTGTGTGCCCTATGTGTATGCCTATGCTCATAAAGCCTGAAGAGGGCACAGGATCCCTTGGGGCTAGAATTAGAAGTGGTTGTGAACCTCCATGTAAGTGCTGGAAATTGAACCCAGGTCCTTTGCAAGAGCAGTAAGAGCTCTTAACCAATGTGCAGTGCCTAGGCCACATTATCTTTTACAGGTTATGCAATTCTGTATTGACATAAAGCTAGGCTAAGGGCTTTGGTGCTACAGTTACATGTGAGATGAGCTTATTTCCTGTCTCTGTTTTTGTGTTACAAAATAGGGAAGGGAATCATGCTTTGTGCATAGAAATTGCTACTAACTTTGCTTTTTGGCTCATGGCCTCTAGTGAATTTCCTACTGAAGCAGATTTGGAAGACTTCACAGAAGCAGCTGCAGATGATGAAGATGAAGATGAGGATGAGGAGGAAGGGGAGGAAGTGGTGGAAGACCGAGATTACTACTATGACTCCTTTAAAGGAGATGATTACAATGAGGAAAACCCAACTGAACCCAGCAGCGATGGCACCATTTCAGACAAGGAGATTGCTCACGATGTGAAAGGTAACGCAGTATAAAGGCATGGCTTTAAAATCCACATTTCTTTACCTGGTGCTGTTATTGCATTCATCACTCAGCATGGGTAAGTCTCAGAAGGCAAAGCAGTGTCTGTACCATCAGCAAGACAGATTCTCTAGTCTGGCAGTGGAGCTGTCAGCATGAGCAGGTGGCACATCCAGGAGACATTCAGAGTGGAGCCAAAAAGCAGAGTTTGGCATGATAAGGATCCAATTAGAAAATTAACAGCAGCAACGCTTCAGGTTCCTCCACAGCCAGCTTTAAGATGTGCTGTCCTCCCAAGGCGCTTCCCATGTCAGTGCTGCTCAGGAACCAACTCTCTAGAGCCCAGTGATTTGTTTGGTTTTTCTTTCCCCATGTGTGTTCCTGTCTGTAGTTGACCCTTCTTGTCAGGCATTTCTAGTGGGTAAGATGAAATTGAAAAAGAAGAGGCTATGATAGTTTAGAGCCATTATATACTGCTGATTGTATGTTTGAAAGTGTGTCAGACCTGAAGAATTAGTAAGGACTCCGCTGGAGGAAAAATACTTGACTGGTGTAGAAGTGTGGGATTTATTTGGAGATTAGGACAGTGGAAACACTGATTCTTTGCAAGTGCTTTAGCACCTGCTGCAGGTATTACCACTTAAATGGCCTTTCTTCTCACATTGACTCCTTTGATCCTAGGAGCCATCAGAACCAACAAAGCAGGCTCCTGTCACCCCTGCACAGATCACAAGTGTGAGGCTTACAAGGAGACCCTTTATGTCAGCCTGTGGTACTGATCTAGACTCAGTGTAAAACCAAAATAGTAAAGTTATCTTTCTCTCTAAATACCTTCATCACATGGGAAGTGATTCTGTTTGCCTGTATTGGTGAGGCTAGTCAGGGCCTTCTGGGCCAGTTGTGGCTCCAGCCTTGCCCCAGCTGGCCTGGAGCACTGTGAAGCATCTCAATCACTGCCTCTGCCCTGCTGACACTCTGACCATTTTCACACAGCTGTCTGCTCCCAGGAGGCCATGACGGGGCCCTGCCGGGCTGTGATGCCTCGTTGGTACTTCGACCTCTCCAAGGGAAAATGCGTACGCTTTATATATGGCGGCTGCGGCGGCAACAGGAACAATTTTGAGTCTGAGGATTATTGTATGGCTGTGTGTAAAGCGATGAGTAAGTCCCGCCTTGTGCTGGCCCTGCACAGCAGTGCCATTCTGTCCAGCCTTCTGTCTCTCCTGGCCGTCCTTGTGACTGCATCTGTCATGTTTATGCTGACTCAGGTGTTTGCTGTCAGTCGTTTTCCCCTCATCTTTGTGCTTTCTAGACCAAGGCTTTGCTTTCCTCTTGGCAGTTGTAAGCTCAGTTTTTGGTGTCCTGTGTTCCCTGTGTGTCTACTGATGGTTGGTGGTGGTAGTATGCCCACTCTGGTGCTGTGGGTAGCACAACCAGGGGCTTGTTCTTTCTTGTGGGCCTTGTGGGTTCATAGGCTGTAAGGGTGGGGAAGGCAGCCATGTCCTCTGGTTGGCTGTTGTGAGAGGTACCATAGAGCCATTACACGATAGCAGTGAGCATGCTAGAGCATGTGCCTTGGGCCTTGCCTCGGTTCCTATCTTTGACCTAAATTTTTTCTGGCCCCTGTGATACATGCTACCTGTTAGGATACCTACCGTCAAAAGGAGAGACAACAGGAATACTTGTGGGATTCCAGAATATTGGAACACCTTGTTTTGTGCATTCTAGTGGGAAGAAATCTGTGCTCTAAACTTCTTGACTCGGCCTTGTCGGTGTTGTGGTCACATGGATTTTTCAGGGCTTTAGGAAGTGAATGTATTTCTGTTTGTGTGTGATTTGGTTTGAGGAAGGGCAGTGCTTCAGTTGCATTGGACTTATGTTAAAGAGAGAAAGTTTTTTCTTTTTTTCAAAGGAACTGCTTCCTTTGTTAAGACTCTGTCTTGTGGTATTAATTCATGTGCTAGGAAAATCCTCAGACCAGGCAGTTTGCCTTGGTTTCTTCTCTGGAACTCATTGGAATGAGTTGCTGCCTGTCTCTGGTGTTTGCTGTAGCTTCTTATGGCTTTTTATTCAGATATCATCACTGTTCTTCCTCTTCCCAAAGAGGTTTAAGATTCTAATCTAGTGTGGTATGCTTTTATTGCTTCCATTCCCAAATATACTAAGGAAAAGATATTTTTATTTAATAGTCCTAAAGGTAAAGAATGAGCCATTGGAACTCCCATCCATAAACAATTTATTTAGAACAGATTTAGAGATAAGAATTTTTGTGATGTGCTGCTTTTAAAAACGACCTAGCTAAGGAATATCAAACATTGTTTGGGCTGATGTTTAAGGACCTGAGGCCCTTTAGTTATCTCACTGAATATGGAGACACTGTCTCTGCTAAAGCTCAGATAGTGCTGTGAAACAAGATTTCCTGTGCACCCAGAGAGCCCTGTTGAAGAGGATGTACTTGCAGGGTTCTTAGCGGGAGAGCCTGGAATACCTATAGATACCAGGTTTTCTGTGATCACATCCTGTCTCTTAAGGGGTCTGAGATTAGTGGGTAGGGTAAGCTTGTCATGATTCTGACCTGTGGGTCCTGTCTCTAGAAGTAGTCTCCAGAGCGGTGTGCTTTTCATTCTTAGTTGCTAGGAGTATTTTGACCCACTGTATGCATTTTCCTAGCCCAGCACAAAAACCATCCACACAGCATGAATGCCTTTATACTTCTGATTACTGTGTATAGAATGCCATATATAGATTGGAAATTTTTCACCAAACTTTGAGTAAGCACTAGAAGAATATAATTTCCTAAGAAACATACTGTAATTTAGTTGATCTGAAAGCTAGATACTGAGATCCTTTTTAAATTACAAAGAGACAAAGTAAGACAGAATTATAGTTATAAGGCTTACTAAATAAAGGGAAGCAAGGAAAGTTGCATCTGATAATTTTGTGGAGTGGTTGGCTAATTTCTAGGTTTTTTAAAATCAGTTTCATACCTATTCTAATGGGTTAAAACTATGCAAAGTAAACTTGCCCACCCAGTCCATTGTGCACATAATCACTAGCCTTGGGAGCCGTAACAGCTCATGCCTAACCAACAGTGAGGTGAGAAGTTTCTGTTTTAATGGATCTGTGCTCCAGAGGACAACTGGAAGCATCCTCAGTCAGCATCATGAATCAAGACCGCCAAGGCATCTCTTCCCATCAGTAGAAGGTGTCCTCATCAAATATAGAAGTTTAGTTTAACCACCATTAGCCTTGTTACTGGACAGAGGTGTAAGAGTCCTTAAGTGATGTTGAACTAGCATGGTTTGCACTTTGTCCACTCAACTTATATGCAAATAATAAACTTGAACTAGTTTTCCAGAAGTAAGACCTGAAGATTGCCATAAGAGAGATAGGAGCCTGTTCTTTAAAAATGGACACCTCCTCTGTGGAAGTGTCTCCATAAGATCTAATTTCAATCCTGGTTTACATTACATACATACCATTAGGAATAAACATGGTGGCCTTATTTTAGGTTTTCAGGTTTCAAGTTCTGAAGGGAAGATTATAGAAACAGTTTTTTTTTCTTTTTTTCTTTTCTTTTTGTCTTGCAATTAATTATAGGTAAATGCCTCATGAGTGCTAAAGATGCTAGAGCTGTGGGCTGCCAATAAATTACTGTATTAGCAATGGACTGACATGGTTAGTGAATATTATGCAAAGAAGATTGCCCACTGCAATCTAACAGTGGAGCGCTCTGTACTTTTTTCTTGCAAAGCCCCAAGACAAATTGAATCCATCTTGTGGGTCCTGTGCTTGACTCTTTACCTGACTACCAAAGAGAATTCCCTCTGTGACTTTGTTTCAGTTCCCCCGACTCCCCTGCCAACCAATGATGTTGATGTGTATTTTGAGACCTCAGCTGATGATAATGAGCATGCCCGTTTCCAGAAGGCTAAGGAGCAACTGGAAATTCGACATCGCAACCGAATGGACAGGGTAAACATTACCAGTTCATACTGTTTGTATTGGTTTTAGTTTGTAGTACTAGAGATTGGAGCCAGGACCTGGTGCACACTAGGCAAGTACTCTCTCTGTAAGGCATGTTTTTATAGTTGAAGATAGGGACATTTTTCACTAAAATGCCACAAGGTTTTGGAGCGCTGCCTCCTAAGTAGATGAATCTCTTTTCTTCACCTACTGCCTCTCATGTGATAACATTACTTTCAATGATATTGCAGATACTTCTGAACACTTTTTGGGCACTTGTTTTTTACTCTGTTTTGCTGTTGCTGACTTTAAATTTTTATTTTTAAAGATCCATTTTTTTTGTCACTGTTAAAATTGAAGACAGTTATAAAACTGTAAAAGTAAATTAGATGAAGTAAAACAGTTATTAATACTTTCTGATTGCAGAGGCAAGAATCTTAAGTCTCAGGGATGTTTCTTTACTTGGAAGCATTCTAAAAGTAGAGAGATTTCATAGTTCATCCTCAAGGATCATGTTTAGCCTAATCCAGGCTGGCCTTGCCTAGGGGCTTAGGATGTAGCTTACTTCTAAGAGTACTTGCTTAGCATGCATAAAGCCCTGGACTCAGTCCCAACCACTACATATACCAGGTTAGAGTGACACAGCTGTTATCCCTGCACCGAGGAAGAAGTAGCAGGAAGATCAAAACTTGAAGGTCATCCTTGGCTACACTGAGAGCCTGAGGCCAGGTTGGACTACATAGGACTGTCTCAGAACAGCAATAGTAACAGGGATTGCTTCCTGAGCTTGTGCTCTGCCCTTGTATCTTCTACACTGGACTTACTCTTAGTGAAATGTTCATTATTTTATTTTTATATCACTTGTGATAGAAACAGGTATTACTCTAGTTTTTAAGTGAAGGGAGAATAAGCATAAATAACTTGCCTAAGGTATATAAGAAGATCATGGTATCTAAGGGGATCTGGGAATGACTGAGGCCTAGAAACTTCTGAGCAACAATCTGGACTCAGGGATCATATGATATGGCTTCCTTTTGCACAATTTCCGGCATTGGATTCAGCACCCAGCAGTATTTTTAGAAAGTGGGGAAGTTGTTTCAGAGGATCATTCTCTGAAGACTGTTTTTGATCTTTGTTCTAGGTAAAGAAGGAGTGGGAAGAAGCAGAACTTCAAGCCAAGAACCTCCCCAAGGCCGAAAGACAGACCCTCATTCAGGTGGGATGCTTTCTTGGGGGACAAAGGGTCCAGCCTGGCCTGCTGAAAATATAGTCAGAGTTGAGCTCCTGAGGAATTTGAATGTAACATCACCTTCTAGTCAGGGACTTAAATTACAAGGAAGTTGTCTCTCTCCCTCTCCCCTGCCCCTGTCCCTTCATTTCTCCTTTCCTCTCCATTTCAATTTCACCACTAGTATTTTTTAGTGGTAGAAAGAAACCAAACCCTCTCCCAGAACACACTTAACTTGTACAGGAAGTAACCTTGGCTTAGCTGTTAATTCTGCTTTCTTGGCAAAAGCCCCTGTCATGGGCTCTGGCTTGTTTTTCAACACTACTGGATTAAAAAGAAACTGGTGGACTCATTGATAAGGCAAAAGGCAGAAAACAAAGATCTTTAATGCAAGTTTATCCCTTGCTTTGTAAAAAACTGTAACCTCAAAATCATAGCAACAGATTGTATACCCTTCTGTAGAAGGGAGAGATTAGCAATAGAAATAGCAATTTATAAGACTGATTTCATTTTGAAAAATGAATCATGTTATTCCTTTAACTTGTGAATAGGGGCAGTTTTGGGAATTGAACAAAACCTCACCTGGTCTAAGCACACATTTTAAAGTAGGTATATGTCAGGTTAGCTCTCTCCAAGTATCCTGGAGTCCTGGAAGACCTTGGCTTGTTTTAATCAGTCAGTCAAAATCTCAGAGCTTTAATTCTTAAACAAGCAATTTCATCTATAGGGATATTTGACTGAGTGACTTTAAGCTACCAGAAAATGTGGCCAGGCAGCTCACAGATAATGTTCTCTTCACAGCTCTAGTAGGTGCGACTCAGTGTGAGCCAGCATGTTACTGAACTGTGTTTTGTTTTAAAACACACGTTCTGTTGGCTTCAAGGATTTAGAAGTTGGTATTTTTTTAGAACATGGAAAAGATGATTGTTGGACGTTGAAAAACCAGATGTTGAAATTTCAAACTTAGTAATCTCAGCTATAGAAACACAAGAGTCTCTCTCTAACACAGAAATGTAATTTGGTTTTTATTAATGGAAGCATCTTAATAGAAATAAGAGATTATGTACCTAGCCCTTGTGTCACTGACTCTGTTACTATCTTACTGAAGCACAGAGGCACTAGGCAAAGAAAAGCATTAGGTCTTGAGGGTCTGAGTTTATTAGACTTCCAACAGATGCCACAAATTATTTGTTGTTCTTTCTTGGCTTAGCATTTCCAAGCTATGGTTAAAGCTTTAGAGAAGGAGGCAGCCAGTGAGAAGCAGCAGCTTGTGGAAACCCATCTAGCCCGAGTGGAAGCCATGCTGAATGACCGCCGTCGCATAGCTCTGGAAAATTACCTGGCTGCCCTGCAGTCTGACCCACCTCGGGTGAGTTATGTTCTTAGTGTTGCCTGCTTAAAGCGTGTACTTGGGAGGCTGAGGCAGGAGAGTCTCAGGCTAGCCTACTAAACAAACAAAAGGAGTTAGGTAAACTAATTCATAGGAGAACTCTTGAGTTAAGAGGTCTCAAGCTTTTCCTAATGCTTAAACCAAAGCTGGCTTGCTTTGAGGGTCCTAGAAAGTATTAGACAGGAAGCTGGTTAGATGACACAGGATAAAAGGCACTTGCTGCACAAACCTGAGAACCAGAGTTCCATCTCCAGAACCCACATAAGGTGGAAGAAGAGCACAGAATTCCCCAGATGTCTCCATGCATGCTGTGGGCTGTCCTCCCCCACTATTTTGAATTTTCTGGTCTTGCAGCCACATCGAATTCTTCAAGCTCTTCGACGTTACGTCCGTGCCGAGAACAAAGACCGCCTGCACACCATTCGTCATTACCAGCATGTGTTGGCTGTTGACCCAGAAAAGGCTGCCCAGATGAAATCCCAGGTAAACTAGACAGATTTCTACCGGGCACAGAAATATGCTGCTGGCTGTGCTTATTGTTAGAAGACAGCATTTCGTACATGAGTTGGGGTTTTGTCAAAAGAGACAAGCCAGTTCCCAAATCTGATTTTTTTTTTCAGTTCATTTGATTCAGTTTTTCACCAGAATTAGTACAATTCCCTTTTCTACGAAAATACATTGTGTATAGGTCTTAAAAGTTGATCTTGGCTCGCTGCTTGGGATACTTGCCCACTGTGTTTGAGTCCCAAGATTTGATCTCTAGAGCCACAAAACAAAATACTTTATTCCTGTTGTAGCCATTGAAGTTTTCATTCAGACAGACATTTCTGAGTTTGTCCTGTGGCTGAGCCCAGCTTTACCACTCTGTCATCTGTACAGGGTTTCTGTTTCTTTGCTACTGTCCATATGTTCATAGAAAGTGAACTGTATGGACATAGTCTATTCTGATAGTCTGTTGGCTTTTTAGAGGGCTGTGTAATACATCGTGATCCTCATTTTATCCTCCTCTCTTAATGTAAACCTGCACAGACTGTGAGTGTTCTATGCACTCCAGAAATGTTCTTCCCAGCTTCTTACAGTAAGATGATACAGTAATTTACCTGAAGTCTTAGGAGTCCTGCAGCTAAGGTTCACTCCTTTGTTGGACAGAAGTTTGTGTTATCATCTACGTGCTGAAGTTCCACATACAGTTTCATGATGCAAAGTTGGATTCCTTGTGTACAGCTCACATAGTAATAGAAAATTAATTTTGTTAATTATGAAGATGAAGAATTACTTTCTGAGGCTGGAGAGATGGCTCAGTGGTTAAGAGCACTGACTGCTCTTCTAGAGGTCCTGAGTTCAATTCCCAGCAACCACAGGGTGGCTCACAACCATCTGTAATGGGATCTGATGTCCTCTTCTGGCGTGTCTGAAGACAACGACAGTATACTCACATCCATAAAATAAATAAATCTTTTAAAATAAATTTACTTTCCTTTAAGGTACAGAGTTTATATTAGTAGTTGGATGTTAGAGAAAATTAAAGAATTTTGATGTGTGAAGAGTGGGACTATGGAAAGGGATGTTTCTGGGGCCCAGGGAGCAGCTAATGGGGAGTTAAGGTTTCACTTTACACCAGATGGAGTGGAAGAAGGAAAATGCCAAAAGCTGGGGGACTGTCTCTGGAGGATAGGCGGGAAAATAAATCCTTGACCTAAGTCCTTTATGTAAGTCCTGTGTTGTAGCTTTTCTTTATATAACAATACTATATATTATATATAATAATATAATGGAGAGGGTTTGAGTTTGGTGGTTTGGCTTGTTTTTTTTTGTTTGTTTGTTTGTTTTGTTTTGTTTTGTTTTGTTTTTGTTTTTTTGCTAAAGATAGAATCTGGGGCCTACACATGCAAGTACTCTACAGATGCAAGTACTCTACACATCCCTGTGCCTGATCAGTATAGAAATAACTTTAGCAAATTCTTGAGACGAAGATCCACAGCAGGTAAATGGAGAATTAGTCAGCCAATCCTAGCAATTCTGAGGACGGACTGCTGGGAGCTGTAAGTCTGTTCTCAGCTCGTGATTCCAACAAAATGGGGGGCCACTGAATTGCATTGACTTGTGCTTGTTCCCTGTGCTTCCTGAGCACTCAGTGTAAGCACTCGCCTTGCTGCATGATTACTATCCCTTAAGTAAAATAGGATGGAAGTGTTTCTGATTGGTAACTCTTCAAAAATGTTTGCTGTGTACATAATAAGATTCTTGGGGGCTGGGCAGTGGTGGCGCACACCTTTAATCCCAGCACTTGGGAGGCAGAGGCAGGCAGATTTCTGAGTTTGAGGCCAGCCTGATCTACAGAATGAGTTCCAGAACAGCCAGGGCAACACAGAGAAACCCTGTCTCGAAAAACAAAAAAACAAAACAAAACAAATCCCAAACAAACAAACAAAAATTCTTGGGGACTAGATGGTTAAGAGGAGGCACGAGAAACAAATTGGTACACAGACATACCTGTAGGCAGAACTCCCATACATATAAAGTAAAATAAATAAATCTCATAAAATCTTGATTCAAGTTTAAGCCTGAAGTTGATTTATGTGTCATATTTACCTTATAGTCTGAAACCAATGTTGTGTAATATTTTTAGTGCTTCTGTGTTTTTTCCCTGCCACCCAGGCTCTTTAGTGCTAAGGTTTCTGTTTCTATTATGATTAATTCCCACTGTCCATTTTGCAGTTCTTACATCCTGTCACAGGGCCCTAATTCCTCTGAGGAGCTATAATCGTATCTGCATGTGCACAGATGCTGGAAGCACACTGCAATTCCATTTGCATTTTTTGCCAAGGCACTCACACTTGTGCTTTCCCATCAGTGTATTTGATTGGCAGAATGGCAAATAGAAAATTAAATTATTGTCATCTTGCTTTTAAAGGTCAAAAGCACATCAGTCTACAGTAAAAGCATCTTTAATTTTTCTTCCATTTCAACCCTTCACGTTAATGGCCTCAGGGCCACACAGTACACTGGTTTCGAGTGCCCTCTTTAGAAGAAGCTTAGCAAGTGCAGGCCTAGGCCTGAGTGGGCAACAGGGCTGTGAGTCTGTTGAGTTGCTGCAGCAGAGCTCCCCTTTTCTACTTTGGATGCTTTTGTCCTTATCTTTGGATTAATAACCTTTGCACTCAGAAAAATAGTAAGCTACCATGGGTAAATCTTTCTTCAACACTTACTTAAAAGTAAATTATTTGTGCCTTATCATTTTTTTTAAAAGAACCATAATTTAAAAGGGAGTAAATTAGTCCTGACCTTAACCATAGTATTTTAGGTAGTTGCTTTACTAAACCAAGTCCATGAGCAGCTGGGCCTTCACACCATAGTTTCAGTGTCTGTCTATCTGCTCTAATCTTACTAGTTTAAAAAAGTGACCAGCACTTTTCCTTCCTCAGACTCAGCAAACGTTTACTAAGGTCTAGTACCTTCAAACCAGGGCTTCTGCTCAGTATTCAGTGGGGTTTGGGGTTTTTTTTTGTTTGATTGGGTTTTTTGTTTTGTTTTGTTTGTTTGTTTGTTTGTTTTGGTGACGATTGTCTTGTATAAAAGCTAAGTCAACTGATTAGTGAGCTTGTTGGTGTTTTGTTTTTAATTTTTAAATGTATTTACTTTATGTGAATAAGTGTTTTGCCTGCATGTATGCCTGGTACCTGTGGAGGCCAGAAAGAGGCTGTTTAGGATCCCCTGCTCCTAGAGGTAATGGCCAGTTGTGAACTCCCATGTCGGTGTTACACAGGTCCTTTACAAGAGCTGCAAATGCTCTGACCACTGAGCATCTCTCCAGCTCCTCAGGGCCATATTTTGAAAGTGAATATTGTTTTAGCTTGTAGCCCTCTCTATAGACAAATGACTGCATCACTCATATGCTGTGCTGTCGTGGGCTTTCCTGCTCTGCTGCGTTGAGTAGTAAAGAGAACCTTTGGGTCTCTGGAACTCTGTGTAGGTGTTTTTTTTCCTCCTGACCTCATAGTTTTCTGTGACAAGGCCTCTCCTGATATTGTGCTTCTAGGTGATGACACACCTCCATGTGATTGAAGAAAGAAGGAACCAAAGTCTTTCTCTGCTCTACAAAGTTCCTTATGTGGCTCAAGAAATTCAAGAGGAAATTGGTGGGTACTAATTGTATCAAAGCTAGACTGCTGAGGCTAAGGAGTGATGGCTGGCTAGGATAAAATATGTAAGGAGTAGGCAAGGCTGGTGAGGTGGGCTTTAGCACACCATGCTTTCAGAAAGCCTGGAATTGACTAGAAGTTTACATGACAAGGCTAAGGAGTCTCCAAAGACAGATGTACTGGCTTGGGGCCACAGAGCCTTGAATTTCATTGACCTTCACTCTTATTAGCGGAAGAAGCTCTAGGGTGTGAAATTGCAGGGGCCTAGGAAGTTTCCTGTTACCAATTTACCCTGTAGTCATTTTATATCATTCTGTCTTCTGCTGTGTGCTCCAGGGTAAAATGGTTTACCTATAGACAATATCTGCTAGAATTCTTGTTACTATAGTAGAGATAGTGACATAATTCAAAGGTGTGTAGTTGCAGTTGTGTATGATGAGTCCTCTAGAGATGGACCACATATAAAGTCAAGCAGTAGGCAGGAGCTAGGCATAGACAGGAGGTAGGTTGCAGACTGGAGGGCTCTTGCCAGGTCTTAGGTCTGGGATAACAGGAGTTGGCCTTTCTCAAAGTACTGGTCCTGTGCCTAAACCTGCTTCTAAAAGCTGCTTATCTGCTCCCTGTTGTTCTCCCTTTGTTAGATGAGCTCCTTCAGGAACAGCGAGCAGATATGGACCAGTTTACCTCCTCCATCTCAGAGAACCCTGTGGATGTCCGGGTGAGCTCTGAGGAGAGTGAGGAGATCCCGCCGTTCCACCCTTTCCATCCCTTCCCATCCTTGTCTGAGAATGAAGGTATGTATGGTCCTCAGAGCCATCCCTAGGAGCAGAGAAGAAGAACATAAAATTAGAAACTTGGAATATGTTTTTTAAACCTGATTGAGTTGGGGAGGTTGTGTTGTTGTGAGAGGCAGGGAAAGGGAAGGCATGGATTCCCTAAGCACCTCCTATTTGCAGGTATTGTGCCGGATTCTATGAGGAAGTAATATCATTAGGAAATCAGGAGTGTTTCTCACCTTTTGTAGCAAGCCTTCTGCTTGTGTGATGTCCCTTACATGTGGGGATCCCTTTTCTTTGAACTGAACCTTCATGTTGGTTATATGACATCATTATCTTTTCCTAAGAGTCTTGGGAGACAGATTAGGGGGAGAGGCTGAAATGGTGCCCTGACTGGCTCAGGGTCACATCTCTGAAGTGAGTTGGGTGAGAAGTTGTATCTTTTGATTCATACGCATGTTTTTCTTGGTGATTCTCAGTATCTAAAAGTGTCCCTGAAAATCATGAGTCTGTACCAAAAATAAACAAGCTGCTGAGACTTGTGCTCTAGGACTAGTTTGTATAGTCAGATTCTATTTCCTGCTATTTCTGATGGTGAGGATAGTAAGGATAAAAATGGCCTGTGGCTTTGGAGTCCTAACTGTGTACCAACTTTAGTTAAGTATTGTGCTTGGATGCCTTTGAATAAATCCTCAGAACACTCTTTGAAGGTAGATACTGTGAGTGTCCCATCTGGGACTCTAAGGTTTGAACAGATTAAGTACTTGTCCAGAGTGTCATGTAGCTTAGATTTGAAGTGCATTTGGATCCACATTGACAGTTCAGTTCCTGTAGCTTCTGGGATAGTCACATGACTGATTAGATATAGTAGCCTAGTGAAAGTAGGAAAAGGTGTGCATGAAAGGTAGCTTGTAGACTTCAACAGAAATCCCTTTGGAACTAGTTAGCTCAGAGGTTCAGACTCCGTGCACCTGACCTTCCTCTACTGAATACCTAAGAAACGAGCGGGTAAAGTGATGTCACCCTATTCCTAATTCCCACTCCACAGATTCCAAGCCTCTGTGAGGTTGTAGGGTGGCCATACGTGTACAGCTTCTCTCTGCTTTTTTGTTTGGGATTGGAGCATTACAAGGAAGCTGTGTCTCTGTCAGTGAACCACAATACTAACTTCATTTTTTACTGTTTTCTTTTTAAAAAAGAAGAAGAAGAATAGTTTTATGGGGTAAGCTAAATAATATGGGACTCTTCCAGATGTCTCTTAAATGACCAGGTCCCGACTTCCCGTTTCTCTCTCCTCAGGAATACATGTAGCCATTTGCTATCTAGATCACAGTCAGTTTGTTTATGGGTATCTCAGGCATGGCTTTTAAGGAAAATGCCTTTTGGTCACATTATAGAGAGGAACTTAGAAGGAAACCATTTTCTTTCTTAATCTCCTTTTGTGCTATTTTGTTTTTTATTGTTTTCCTTTCTGCTAGACACTCAGCCGGAGTTGTACCACCCAATGAAAAAAGGTTGGTTTGTCAAAGACGTTTCTTAAGACCTCCATTCCTTCTCACTTCCCTGCTGTGTTGGAAGTCTCATTTTATGTTTCATACCACCATTTGACTTTCCCCGCCTCATTCCTTCAGCCATGGCTGTGAGTGGAGCTAGAGTAGCCCGCCTCCATGTTACTAACAAGTTCCCTGGCTTTCCTAGTCTGGTCGCAGAAAAGCAGATGCTTTCTTTCCTTTCAAGTCTTTGTCTGGGTAAATGTCAAAAAAGGATGCTCGGTTTAACAAAATTGTTGTTTGTAGCTTGTCTGTGTAAGAACATGCTGAACTTTTACAGTCAGGTAGAATGTAATTTCCCTTTCTCTTTTTTGCCTGTTATTACCAGTTGCCTTCCCCCTTTTGCTGTCTTACCTTTCGTCCATGCCACTATCTCATGTTCCTGAGTAGTAGCATTCCTAAAACACAAGGTGCTGTTGGTGAAAGAGATAGAAACAGATGAGTCTCCAGTCTTCAAAAACACTGTGTGGAAAGCACTATGCCAGCTGCATTATCTTGGTTACCCACCAAACCTCCCTCTTGGGCAGGATTTTTGGTTCACTTTTGTAGATTAGGCAGTTGAAAAAGCCTTTGAGATAACATGTGTTGCTTTCCAAATCTGCAAGTTAAGAAGTTAGAGGATCAAGGTCTGGACCCAAAGCTGTTTTCATAGCCAATGTGGTTTCTGTTGCTTGAGTTGCTGGTGACAGCTACAGAATCTCCCAGATGATTAGACAATCCCCTCTCTTAAGTCAGGGGTAGTAGTGCCTGTTCTTAGTGTATTTTATGAGTATACGCTCTTGGCTTTGGTAGTGTGGTCGTGGCTGTACCAAGTGAGATTCCCTGGCTCAGAATTTGGTATGCAAATTTATACCGTATTTTATTCTTAGAATCAAAAAGTGTGATTTGACTCCTTTGAAAATTGTTTGCATTCATCTATGCCTCCTCTTCTTGGCAGTCATTGTGCTGATATTCATCTCAGGTATACGTCTTAGATACTAAGTTACACTGTCTTTAGCTTTCTTACTTTAAAAAAAAATATGTCGAGACAACATAACTACTAAGTTTGGTCTCTTAAAGTCATTTCTGTGCATTATGAAACCAAAGTAAGTTTAGTCAGAAACAGTATTGGGATAGCCTGGACCAAAGCAAGCCTTTAGATGAGTTGATTCAGTATTTCCTTGTATTCTGAGAGTCTTGCCCTTATGACTTTTGAAACTCTGAGGAGAGCATGAGATGGGAAGAATTAAAATTTAGCAGTCTTGAATATGAGCATCCGTGTTAAGTAAGTCAATACCCTTCTAAATTCCTCTTTCTTGAATCGTAGTCAGGCAGTGTTGTTTCCTTTGAGACACAAATAACTGGTATCAGGTTATGCTTTTCTTTTGAAGTAAATGCTTTAGAAAAAAAAATGCATCACTTTGGCCACGGTGTAATGAGTTAATAAATTAACTAGGCTGCAAGCTCAGCAGCCTCGTGGCTATTATTAATCACTCCTGTTGGCCTGTGTTAAGAAAACAAGTCTAGTTGTGAAGTGAAAACAACTTCTCTGTGGCTGGGCTTTGTATCATTGCTTTCCTTTGGCATCTCCAGGACAGTAGTGCTTGGATGTAAACTTATGTTGGAATCCATTCACTTGCAGGCAGTTTGGCTGCCAAGTCTCTTTATAAAGGGTTCAAATCATATATATATATATTCTTATTAATAAGAAACTTGTGATAGCCAGGAATCACATGCTTGAAGCTAAAAGTAAAACAGATTTTTCTTTCTGCGTCTGTGCTGAGTGCAAACATGGTGTGTGTTTGGATGCTGTCATCTATGTGCCACACATGAGTGATGTTGGCTCAAGCCATTTCTGACCTTGGAAAAAGGACAGGTGCTGTTCTTGCATCTTTCACCTTAGTTAAAATTCTCCGTGTAGATAGACTGCTTTCTTCCCATTCACCTGGGCTTACCTACAATTTGAGAGTAACTGTAGGATCAGGTCTGAGGGATCAAACATCCAGTGGGAGACATAGAAAGAAGTAGATAATTACAAACTTATGTTAACTGCTACAACCTAGAAATGTGTCCCTAGAGAACCTGAAGCTTAAAGGGCAAATAGGAGGACTTGAGGATAGAAGGTGGCAGGGGTTTGAGGCAGAAACAATTTCTTTTGGAGTAAACTGTTATGCTCAAAGCACACATGCATCCATTCAGTAGGCTGTAGATACCAAAGAATTGTGTAGTTGCATAGCAAGTTCTATTAAAATCGTATGTAAGGGATGGGACATGTTTTATATTCTGGAACACTCTCAGGCTCAGCTTCTCTCCAAAGCTTACATTCCATTCCTTCAGGTGGGAGACCAGGAAGCACTTTGTCTTCCTTCATTATATGCATCAGTCTTTTGAAAACGCTTGTACCATTCATCCTTGCAAAGCACAGTGCATCCTCAGACATGCCAATGCAGTGACTGTTTACAGAGTCATGGGGGTATTTGGTAAGAAGCTCTCTGGCCCTCAGGCAGGGATTTACTGCTTCTTAAGAGACTGGCCTCAAGTGGGCTGCCGAGAAACTCAACTGTGAACATTTTCTACACAGGATCTGGAATGGCAGAGCAAGATGGGGGACTGATTGGTGCAGAAGAAAAAGTGATTAACAGTAAGAATAAAATGGATGAAAATATGGTGAGCCTCTTGTCTTTTGCATAGCACACTTCCTTCTGTACACTGAAGCAAAAGGCATGCTAGTTAGTACTTCCAGGCCAGTGTGTGCCAGTCTTCCATTAGTAGACGATAGGAGAGCAACCATGCCCACAGATTGCAGATGGTCCCTTACCAGTGAAGCTGCTTTTTTTTCTTAGTATATGGTAGAAAAGAACATACCTGTAATGAAAAGTATATATCAGAGGTTATTTCCAAGTAAGTAAATATTTATTAGGTGGAGGATTGAGTAAAATGGAGTTTTCTGTTTTTCTTATCCCTCCTTTTATTCTTCTGTTTAGATTATTTAATTGCCTCCAGCTAACTAGATATTTTTTAGTTGCTCTTTGTGTGTGTATGGCGTCACATGCGTGCCATGGTATGCATACAGATCAGAGGACGATTAGGAGTCATTCTCTTTCCATGTAGACCCCAAGGACCACACTGGAATTGTCAGGTTTGCTGGCAGGCACTTTAACCTGCTGAGTGTTTGCTGGGCCTGAGTTTACTGTTTGTTAGTTGTCTGTCCTAAGCTTTGTCACCACCACAGTTACTTCAAGGAAAGTTCAGGTAGAGATCCTCCCTAGATGGGAGGAGCTACCATACAGCATGTCTGCCTACACTTACCCCACCCTTTGGAGTTTGCTAAGTGGATTTGGATCAGTGTGATGGAAGAAAAAACAGCTTTCCAGTGCCCCATAGCATTGTAAAGTAGTGACATTTATGTTCATTTCCTTCCCACTCACTAATATTTGTGACTTTCAGGTCATTGATGAGACTCTGGATGTTAAGGAAATGATTTTCAATGCTGAGAGAGTTGGGGGCCTTGAGGAAGAGCCGGTATGTGTTTGCTCCAGAATGGAAGGGCTGTCTTCATGTCTCTTTCTTATCAGTCATCTTAGTTCAAGTGGAAAGGGAAGATCCATGGTATTTAGTTACTAAGGGGCTCTTGTCCCAGTTTCCCATATTTCTGAGTAAGAATGCAAAAAATGAAAATGTCCTTGTAGATTAGAAAAAGTGGGCATTCTCCCTGATATGGTGACAAAGCAGGGTCTTTGTGTTGCCCTGAGTGTTTGAGACCAGCCAAGAGGCACATGGTCCTCTTTTGGTTTCCACGTAGTCACTGGGCTTTGTTTCCTATGTGCTTTGTTGTTTTAGGAATCTGTGGGACCTTTAAGGGAGGACTTCAGTTTGAGCAGCAATGCCCTTATTGGCTTGCTGGTTATTGCAGTGGCCATTGCTACGGTCATCGTTATCAGCCTGGTGATGCTGAGGAAGAGGCAGTACGGGACCATCAGCCATGGGATTGTGGAGGTAAGAACTGGGCCACCTTTTCCCTTCGGCCTGAGCTGATGAGGGCTTGTTCCGCACTGTCAATGGGTGTGAGTGGTTAGGGCTTGAACTGTATATAATTCAAAGATCTGGACTTACCGAGTGCTGGGCATGTTGCTGTTGTCCTTTGTATTAATCATTGGGTTATTAGGTCATGTTTTGGAGATGAGCCATTGCTGAATTATGTTGCTCTTGTTTCAAGGGACTGTCAACCACTTTCAGCATGGCTTTTAATCAGTTAAATGGGTCAATGCCAGGAGGTCATAATATATGCTTCAGAAAATTAAAAGGTTTTTCAATATTTTCTTGGAATGTTTTTTCAGAGAGCCACTTGTCTCTGTGACTTCTAAGAAACTTGTCTTTTTAAAAGTTCAGTAAGTGTTACAATACGCTTTAGTCTGACTTGTTTATGTGCTGGGGATTGAACCAGGAGTCCTGAATATGCTAGATAGTTGTCTGTGACACTCTATTATAACGGTTAGATGGAGACAAAAAGCAAATGCAAGCTGTTTGTGTTCTTTATCTGCTGATGCATAATTGTAGTATTTGCAGCTCAGTTTTTAGTGGATGGTGGAAAATGTTTAGTTTCTTGCATCTATGTTATATAAGTACATGTAAGGAATGTAATACACTCTGGATGAGTACTATATATATATGCTCATATCAGTACTGGAACCTGGCCTCTGCTGTAGAGTTTGAGCTGCAAATGAATAGAGACCATCTGCCCCCTTTCCTTATTAGCGAGCATGACATGATGTACCCACTATCCTAGAGCTTAATTGGTTGGAAGCCACTCATCACTGTGGCTACCAAGAAACTGGTCCTTTAAAAGTTCAGAAAAGGACTAGAGAGATGGCTCAGCAGTTAAGATGGCTCATTGACTGCTCTTCCAGAGGTCCTGAGTTCAATTTCCAGCATCCACATGGTGGCTCACAACCATCTGTAATGGGATCTGATGCCCTCGTCTGTTGTGTCTGAAGACAACTACAGTGTACTCACTTACATAAAAAATAAATAAATAGATCTTTAAAAAAAGGAAAAGTCCAGTAAATGTGTCACAGTTTGCTTCAGTTTCACAGGAACTTGAAAAGGGGAACAGGACTGCCACCTTATGTTAAAAACAAAAACAGGGATCCCAAGAACCAAACTGAAATTGTCAAGTTTGTCAGAGAGAAGCATTACCTCTCTGACCTCCTCCTTCCCTTCCCTATGTCCTTGATACCAGCTCTTGTTTGATCTGTCCAGTTGAAAAGGATGCTGGACTGCTTCAAGTCCCGTGGGATTGGACAGTGAATAGCCTGGCGTCCTGATGCTCTGCGAGCCTCTTCAGTATCCCACAGTGACCTGCAGCCTTTGTTCCTACAGGTTGACCCAATGCTCACCCCAGAAGAGCGTCACCTGAATAAGATGCAGAACCATGGTTATGAAAACCCAACCTACAAATACCTGGAGCAGATGCAGATTTAAGGACAGCATGTGTAACACCCTGGCTGAGGCTACTGCAGGTGGGCTGGAAGAGGCTCAGTGTTTGTGCTTGACTGCTGACCACCAGTGGTGCCAGAAGCCCTCATCCTACATCCTGCTCTCCTGGATTGTTAAGACTATAAAGTACTACTGTAGGATTGCAATTTCCATTCTTTTAAATGGGTTTAAAAGATGTTAATATAACAATATATGATATATAAACCTTAAGTGAAATGAAAAAAAAAAGATCTATTGCAGATATCTGATGGATGTAGTTTTCTTTTTTTAAGTTAGAAATGACACTTCTATTGTATTGTCTCACACATGCTCTATATAAATGGAAAATGTTGATTTTTTTTTTTTTTTTTTTGATGATAGACTATATACACAGGCTGTTCCCGTTATGTAAGTCAGTTCTTCAGGCTCATTTGCTGTGCTGGTTTTATTATTATTTGTTTTTAATGTATAAAGGCAGTATTTCCCTTTTCAGGTTGCTGAGAAATGTAAGTGGAGCTGAAGTACATTGTATACAGTTACTGTGTTAGGCATAGTCTCTTTGGAAGCCTAGTGTTTTCAGTGCTGGGTGTCTGGGTGCTTCTGTACCAGCCATCACCAAGCAGGGCTAAGGCACCTTGAGCTAGCCAGATGCAAACATAGATCCACTGTGCTTTCCTTCAAATCCAGTTCTTCCACAGCAACTAGCCCATAGTCAGTCTGTGTCCTTCCACAGTTGTTTACGGTAGCGTTTTCCTGTCCACTTCCTTACCCAGTGCGTCCAGGTGTGCACCCACCTCCTCTTCCAATGTCTGCTTCCCATGCACTGACCCTCTGCCTGCCTTTGTACCTCACTCACCTCCACCGTTCTTCAGCCCCTTTGATGTCTGCTCAGAGAATACCGTAATAAACATGGCTGAGGACCCAGGAGAGTTCACGGGAGGCTTCGTTATATGACAGGACAATGTTCTGGGTTGTACATGAAATTGGATCTGTAGACACTGTGGAAATCTTTGAAACTTTTGTTCCCTTCATATGAATCTATAAAGTCGAATAGCTGAAGTGGATGCTCACAGCCTTTAACGCTTTTGTTGCTTGTTTTGTTTTAATCTCAAGGTTCTGGTAACCTGTTGTGTTTTTTTGTTTTGTTTTTTTGTATTTTTTCTGTGATTTCCCTCCCCTTCCTTTCCCCCCTTGGCCCTAGCCATGCCTCTTCCCACTATGCACAGATTGAAACTTCACCTACAAACTCCTTAGTATGATCTGTGGAGAATGTACAGAACTTAACTACATCAATAAACACTTTAACTTCCCCTGAGCACCTTGTGTTACTGACCATGGCAATGATCTGTGATGATGGAGAGCTTTCTAGTCTTGCTTTTGGAGATGAAGGGCATCTTCCTTCTGTGAAGAGTTACTAGTCTGTATTACAGTGGCAGTAGTAACTTAAACCAAGAGTTCCATTTTCAACCCCCCACCCACCCCACCCCCCCCCAAAAAAAAAAGAAAAAAAAGGAGACCGTGGTTGGAATGACGGCTCACTGGTGAAGAGCATAGAGGACTCAGATTGGGATCTCAGAACCATCGGTAACTCTAGTTCTGGGGGATCTGGCACCCACTTCTGGCCTCCATGCAGTTAAACAATCATACAGGTAACTCCCACACCCTCCAAGAAGCTGGATGTTGTGGAATTAATCTCAGCACTCTGGGGGAGGGGTTGCTGACGCAGAACAGTTGAGTTGAAGGCCAGCATTGGCCATGCAGCAAGAACCTATCTTAAGAGCAAAGAAAGGTAAAGGAAAGCCTGCCTGTGGCATTTTGCAAAATTTAAGTCAAGACTCTTCCCAGTGTTGAGAATAATGTTAATAGAGCTAATGGCTGAATTTTCAGGAAGCTGTCCATAGTAGCTGTGTCTGAGTTTAAGTTACTTGCCACTAGGAGGCCCCTGTGCTCAATGACTTGGGTTTTTAGCTGCTTCCAGGGCTTTGTGCCTGAGCACTGTTGGCACCCAGTTTTAAATGTTCTTCTACAAGAGTTGATACACATTATGAAACATGTAGTTATTAGGGTCATATTGTATGAGTTTCTAAGCCAGGAAGAAACTTGGGCTGGGGACACTGCCAGCAGTCTGATTCTCTATTAACAGTCAACACTGCCCAACTTCTTTTATGATGTCCCCTCAGGTTGCTGTCCAAGAGAGTCACAAAGAGGGGCCTTTATATTTGAAGTGTTTCTCTCAGAGCACTTTAAAGAGGTATCACTGGATCCTCTGTTGCTGTCTGGGAAGCTACTTTTCCATTCATTATCTAATTCAAAAATACAGCTTTGTTTATTTGGTGCTTATTGTCTGCTCACCGATTCTAAGTACTGTGTGGCTTGGTCATCTTTGCAAGCCAACCCCTGTCCAATTGTTTCCAACTGGTCAGCTCTCAGAACTTGTCACCACCACTCAGTTGACAATGGACTACTCCTGGGAGGGAATTCAGAGCTTGTAAGAGGATAGTGCATAACCCACAGTGGATTAGCACAAATATTGTAGAGGTTGGATCAGAACACAAGAATTACTGCAGCCAGGCCTGTGTGTCTCTCACCCTGTACAGATTTGCTTTGCACTTAGCAAGGCGTTGACCTGTTTAATTAAATTCGCCTTAAACTGTAAAGGTAGTTGTGTTTATGGTAGCCATATAGTAATTAAATTTTGTAAGGAAACACCCACAGAAATGTAAAGCAGGAACTGCCCTTTGACCTCACCCACGTAGTACGGCTCCCTCATGGGCACAGAAAGAAACTTACTCATCTCCTGGTTTCTGCTTGGATGACTAAGCTGTGACCTCTGGAGAATGCGGCCCTACCCATCTTGCAGTGAACCTCAGGTGCTGGCTGCTATTGAGTGTGAAGGGCCTATCTGCCTACCCGCTCTCAATTGCATATCCAAGCCCAATGGCTGAGATCTGTGCTAGACCCAGATATGTAGATAATCTGCTGTGGTTTTAGTTGCTTGGGCGATCCATACTCTTATTTTAGAAGACACGGGTTAAAATGCAGTAAGTCCCTGAGATTCCAGAGGATCAGGGGAGGAGGGCCATATTCATAGAAACATACTGTCAGATTCTTAGGAGAGGTCATGAACAAGGGCAGAGCAAAAAGAAGCAAAAAAGTCATCTTGATTGTAGCTGAAACATAACCACAGGGTCACCTGCACCTAGTGACACAGCTGGAGTCTGATTTTGACAAAAAGGAATATTTCCCTTCATTTATAAAATGAAAAGACCAATGATGTCTCTTGCCTTTTTGCCTGTGAAATAGGGATGTCTTTCTGTCCTCTTTGTGTTCTTGGTCACAGACGTCATTAGTTTTTCTGTTACGCCCAGAGATTTAAGTGTAAATTACATTTTCACTAAAAACCTTTGAAATAGATTAGAGAGGACTTGAAAAGTCTGTAGATTTCTCACCAAGAAAATCCAGATCTGGGTAACAAGTTTAAAGTCAAATATTGAATTGGGCAGTGGTAGCGCACGCTTTTAATCCCAACTATGTAGGGCTATGCCTAACATTGATGGCGGGTTTTTTTAGGAAGCAGCACCATGTGGATATTTAAATTATGGTATGTACCAAATCCAAAATGGAAACCTGGGAGACAGAGAAGAGATGAAATAATTTTTCCCAAATAATTTATAAGGAGGAGATAAAGCCTTTACGATTCAGATATTGCTACTGTGTGCGTGCGTGTGCATGTGTGTGTGTATGTGTGTGTAAAGCTATATAGATCAGGCTAGCCTCAAGCTCACAGCCATTTGCCTCCCCAGTGCTGGGATTACAGACATAGTGCTGGCATTGCACACACTTGGCCAGAATGATTGCTTATGCTTCTCCTTGTGTGACATAGTGCGTTCCTGAAGCCCATGCTCTCCCCGTCTCTCTGCCCATTCTTGATTCAGGTCTCTTTGCTTTGTATCTACAGCCCATTTTTTTCTCCTAGGATGTGACCTTCATTGTTTTGGTGGTCCTGACAGGTGAGTACTGGTTAGCTGTCTTGTTACAACATCACAGTGTGTTTGATACTTGTCTTATAAAAGCCTCCCTGGGTTTTTTGTTTGTTTGTTTGTTTGTTTGTTTTTTTACTTTAATTTATTTGGGATCAAACCCAAGACACACTCTTAGTTAGGGTTTTACTGAACAGATACCATGACCAAGGCAACTCTTATAAGGACAACATTTAAGTGGGGCTGCCTTACAGGTTCAGAGGTTCAGTCCATTATCATCAAGGTGGGAACATGGGCAGTGTCCAGGCAGGCATGGTGCAGGAGAAGCTGAGAGTTCTACATCTTCATCTGAAGTCTGTTAGCTGAATACTGACTTCCAGGCAGCTAGGACAGGTATTAAAGCCCATACCCACAGTGACACACCTACTCCAACAAGGGTACACTTCCTAATAGTGCCACTCCTGGGGCCCAGGATAGTCAAACCATCACACACACTAAGCAAGTGCTGCTCACCAAGCTAGTGTTATATATGGATGATCACAGACCAAAAAAAAAAAAAAAAAAATCGTCCACATGATGCAATTGGTAGTGACCTTGATTATCTGGGTAGCCTGGTGGTGGCAGATTTATCTCCTTTAAAAGTTATGCTACCCCTCCCCCACAATGCTGTCCATGGAAAGATACTGTTACATGTAGTTTACACTTTAAAGAATAGGGAGTTAAGCTCTCTCTGTTAATAGCTTTAAGGGGAGAGGGTTGAGACAGGGTCTCATGTAGTTCAGGCAGATCTCAGATTTGTTATACAACCAAGAGAAATATTTATATGTTTAACTTGCCATTTCCCAAGTACTAGAATTGTAGGTATGTGCCACCACTCCTGGTGTAAGGTTGACCTTGAAGCTTCTTCATGCCTGACTGGTGTACTCTTGTCACGTTTGGATCCCGAATGTCTCCCTAAAGGCCTGTTTGTCAGGCTTGACCTCCAGCATGTGATACTGTTGAGACCTAGTATAAGGAAGTTAGGCCCTGGGGGAAGTGCCCTTGGGAGATACATTGGGGCTTTAGCCCATTCCCTTCCCACGCTGCTGCTTCGTGGTCTCTAGGAGGTGAGCAGATCTCTGCTACATGCTTTCCAATGTGATGAGCTGTCTGACCACAAGGCCAAGTGACTATGGACTGAAAGTATCAACAAAAATCGTTCTTCCTCCTTATAAGCTGTTCACTTGGCATTTTGTCATAATGGTGCCAGGCTGACTAATGCACTCTATTACTGTCTTTTAACTTGTATTTTGATGCCTTGAAGTAGAGCAGTTGGAAAGCCTGGTCCTAAGGTCAGTTTGTTGCAACGAGGTACTTAGCGATCATCAAAACTGAAAGAACATTCTAGGTAATGGTAGTAGTCCCACAGGTAGCATACGTGTCAGAACTTAGATCAGACATATACACATCTTACTGTGACAGTGATTCTGCAGTGTTCTAGTTGCTTCTCTGTTGCTGTTGTAAAGTACCCAGACACAAAACCACTGGGAGGAGAAAGGCTGTGTTCTGGTTTACAGTTCCTAAGGCGATGAAGCCCATCATGGTGGGGAAGGCATGGGCAGTCAGGAAGTGGAGAGGACAGAGATAGAGTCAGGTTATGAAACCTCAAAGTTCAGCCACTTGCAAGTCCATGCCTTTAATTCTGGCACTGGGGAAGCAGAGGCAGATGTATCTCTGTTAATTCAAGGCCAGCCAGAGCTACATAGTGACACTCTGTATCAAAAATCCTCAAGGCTTGGTTCCAATGACACACTTCCTTCAGCAATGCTTTACCTCCTAATGTTCCTGTAACATTTCTACCCATTTTATTAGCTGGAAGCCAAATCTTCCACCATGTGAGCTCATGGGAGCATTTCATATTTAAACTGTAATGCTCTATAAAACTATCTTCTTATTTTTAAGGCAGAACAGTGCTGGGGATAGAACACACTTGGAAGAGTGCCTGATTAGCATGCATGAAACCCTGAGTTCCGTCACTGGCAGCACCACATAAGTCTGGCACACGCCTGTATTTCCAGCTCTGAGAAGGCAGGAAGATCAGAAGTTTAAGGTTATCCTTAGCTATATAGGGGGCTTGAGGGCAGCCTGGGCTACAGGCTCTTTCTGAGAGAGAGGGAGGGAGGGAGGGAGGGAGGGAGGGAAGATAATAGGTACTTTACAAAGATAAACTAGAAAAATGGCTCAGTGGTTAAGATCACAAACTGCTCATTCCGAGGAACCATGTTCAATTCCCAGTACCTGTATCAAGCAGGTGACAACTGCCTCTAATTCCAGCCTGGGCGACCCAGGATTTCTA